TCTAACCTAAGTTGGAAAGGTAAAACCCTCTCTTTGAGCATCAAAATGTTCAAAGACATTCATGAATTTGCAACCTATAAGTTGTGTATTCCTCTAACTCTCCTCCAACTTCTAATTCATAGGAGATCTCCCCTCCCTTTAGCTCCAAAAGCTAAAGGGAGTTCTTTAACATTTAGCCCAAAAACTATATGTTGGACATCCTTTCCTTAGATCCAAAATCCAAGTGAAAACCCTTAATGTGACATATCACACAATGCACACATTTAGGTGCACAATCACTAGGCATGCTAGAACAAGAGATTTTCTTTTTGTGCACATACGGTTGAAGATTTTCTGTGATTGCACTTGGATTGCCTGCGTTGTGGGCACTTGCCCTTAAGTGGATAGTGTAGAAATATATATGTTCTTCTTGCAGGTGGTCATATCTAAAAGAGAGGTGTTATAAATCATATATAATAAATTGTTTGCATGACATGTGCCGCTTAAAATCCCCCGAAAGATGTGGCCAATCAGGTAGAAGCAAATGTTTGACACTCTAAGTGCTAAACAAAATTTTGAATGTGATATTTTGTTAAATAAACTGCTTCTAATCCATTATTTTATAGGCTTGAGTCTTTTTTTTTAAATATGTATTTGATAGAATTAAGATATAATCAAACTTATGGGGTTTGAATCAAAAGAAAAAAGTGGACTAGAAGGATGTACTTGTTGAAGGTAAAGCCGATGTCCATTCAGAAGTCAAAGGCTTGAAAACCCCCATAAATAAAGTCTGTAATAAATTTGACTGAGTTATATAATTGCAAGCAACTCAGCTGTCAAACCTGATTGTAATAACTTGATATTATTTATATTTCTATTTAGATAATTTATACTTTCAAGAATGTGTTGATTGTTACTATGTGTGCAATAGAAATGCATGTTTTTTTCTAAGTTTTTTCCATGTTTTGCTTGCGGGTGGCCTGGATATGTGAATGTGGTAGGCTCTTAGGAGAAAAATAAGAATTTTACATTATTAAAAATATAAACAATCTAAAGAAAATAGGCTCCATAATCTTCTAACAAAAGAAAAAATGCATGACTCTCTTTTAAGGAGCCAAGTTATTCAAACTCAAAACAATCATGCATAGCCCAAATGTGATGAAAGTTCATTAGCGATGTTAAGCTCTTCTGAACTAGCCCAAGGCTAACCAAGAGGAGGGGTGAATTGGTATTTTAAAAATCTTTCAATCAAAACACAAACTCAAACCAAACCAAAATTTACCACAAAAAAAATCAAAGTGCAGAACTTAAATACGGAAATAATAAAGGAAAGAACACATCAGATTTATAGTGGTTCGGTCAAACCTTGACCTATGTCCACTCCTCGGAGGCACCCTTCAAGTATTACACTAAACTCAATGTCTCTCCTTTAGCCCCCACAGCTAGGCGGAGAAACCCTTACAAAATCACTTCCACCTTCCAAAGACAAAGCTCTCTCTTCAAATTTTCTCCAGAAGAAACGAAACCTCAATGGCTACCAAAGTCCAAAGACACTTTCAAAGTCTTTGACAAAGCTTAAATAGAAGAGCTCCAAAAAGGCTCTTAAATGCACCAAACTGACATTATCGTCCATGATGATCTCAGGATCGTCCCGTACGATGCACTCAAAAAAAGGGCTTCAGAAAACCCTAAAACCTCAATTCCGGTGTCAAATATCGTCCATGATGATCTCAGGATCGTCCCGTACGATGCACTCAAAAAATTGACCTGATAGTCCCGGACGATATTAGGATAGAGTCCAGGATGATCGGTGCAAAATTGTACAGATCGTTCAGGACGATATTGTGGATCGTCCGAGACGATTAGAAGAAAAATTTTGCTATTTCGGCAAGGATTATTTAGAAAAATCAAGTATATCGGCAAACATCGTCCTGTACAATATATAGATCGTCCAAGACGATCGGATTGAAAAATTTAACCATAATTAATCTCCTAATCATAGGATCAATTTAGGCATTATTTGTATTGATTGTCCTGAACGATCAAGACTTCCGGGACGTTTAGGACAAAAAATAAATATTAAAATCTTGTCTAAATTAGCATTGGCGGCTATTTTCCAAGATCTTAAAGGATCGTCCTAGACAATCCAAAATCGTCCAGTACGATTAGTTCAAAACTTTATCTTCTGGATTTGAATAGATCTCACTCCCTTGAGTGTGTATGTGCATGGTCACCAAGCAAGCATACTCCCTTACAGGACTTGACTCAAAAAATCAAAAATTAGATCAATGAATATTACAGACACTTTACAACATAACATTATTTAACCCAATTTTGAGCTCTAATTCTTTGTTTGATGTTGCATGATATTCCTGAAATGTTAGTATACACACAAACAAATATATAATGAAAAATACTATGAGATATAAAAATATTTGATATCATCAAAAACATAAAACTCCTGAGCTCAATTCAAAACAAGTGTCGCATATAAAAAGCCCTCACTTAAGGACTAGATAATAAAAAAGTTTATTTTTTCTTTGTAAGTCAGCATATGCATACCATCATAACTAGGCATCTTGCCTCAAAGACAAGTCGTAAGCCCTACTTATTAAATAAAAATAATCTTTCACTCTTCATATGCATTGAGACAAAAATAATGATTTTAAAAGCAACTAGGTGAGTTTAGCTGGCAGCCCTTTCCAGACATGACAATAAATCCAGAGGTCGGTATGATTATGCCTCAAGTTATAAGCCCTATTTCTTTCCTCTAACCCTTATTCTAAAAAATCAAATCTCAAGTTGATCTCCTCTCTTCCTTAAAATTTCTAAAGACCAAAATTTTCTTTAAATAAGATTTTTACGTATTTCAAAAAAAATTGAACTTTAACCAATATCTAAATTACTTTCAAAAGTAAGAATGTCCTCAAGCACCAAAGCTTGAGATGTAATTAAACATGGAGGTAAGGATATCTGTACCCCATAATAAATAAACCTCATTCAATCAAACATTGAATGGGGGAATCTCTGTTAAATTGTAAATTTTATCATTGAGTCCATAAGGAAAATGATGTTTTTATCCTTCAGGGTAATATATCATTTTTCTTATGCTGTACTCGATCGTAAAGTATGCAATCCATTTGATGATAATATAATTTCTCCAACACAAGCTATTCTAGATGCCACCTTTGCTGTCCAAGATGCTCTCAAGTCTCCAAACTATTGTTTGGGAGCTTCCAAAAGATTCCTTGTTGCCTCGAGGTCGCCAGAATTAAAGGAGGAAGGAGAATAAACCTTCCGCCTTCTTTAATTGCCGCAAAGAAGTGTTGTGGTGGTTCTGAAAGAGGCCAGTGGCTTCGGATAGTTCAGCGACTAAGGGAGGTGGAGATTTTTGGGAGGTTCGGTCGAAGGCCTGGACGGGTTCGACCCAGGTTCCGCTCGGTTTTTGCCTGCAGGTGGCGGCTTCGAATAGTTTAGGCGAATGGGGGGGGAACAAACCTCCTGAGAGACTTTGTCGTAAGCCTCGATGGGGCCGGACGGAGGTTCAACACGCGAATAAGGGTCGAACGGAGGCCTTCCGTGCGAATGGAGGCCTTCCGCACACAAGATCACGGACGATCGTTCCGTCTGGAGCTTTTCCTCTCGCTCTCTCTTGCTCTTCTATGGGACAGACAAACACAAGGGAGCCTCTCCCCCTTTCCCTTTCATTCTCTTAGAGGCGCATGCACAAGGCAGGCCACCGCCCAAACGCGCCTATCCCAGCTCCTTAATGCGCGAAAAGAGGGAATTTCCACTCGAGTGGATTTTCTTAAGGATTTGATGTGAAATTGGGTGGGATTTGAGATGAAATCTCACCCCTAGGTTTCAATTTTTGATTTTAGGACTCAATCTAGCACAATTTAGGCTGAAATTAAGCCTGAGTTGGACTTGACCCAAACCGATTTGAGCTGATTCGGGTCTGATTGAGTCTGATCAAGCCAATTTTATGAAATTAGGCTCGAATCGGCTTCGAATCATGTCGAATTTGGTTCGACAAGACTCGAATGGGTTCGATTTGGATTGATTTGATTTTAATTAAATTAAATTGGATTTAATTCAATTAAATTGAGGCTTAATTTGGGTAATTTCACTTCGACGACATTCGATCGAATCAATCGAGTGCGATCGAACCCACTCGGGCTCAAATCGGCTCGATCGAGGTCAAGTCGACACGCAAATATGCATCAACACAACATATATATTGGGTTCTCAAAATATTAAAGTAGCTCAAATAAAATTAGTGGGATGTGATAAATTATTATTATTAAGTGTTGAAAGTAAAATAAAATTAACATAAGCAAGCATAAAATATTATCTGATGCTTTATTTAAATCTTTGAATATTGAGACATGTTAAGAGCAGTCTATTAGGAGTATCACACCTGTAATTCATGTTCATTAGGAAAAATCAATATCATCCATTCTAAAACATAACACATACGCATCCAGATAATAATCAATTGTGAATAAATTGATCCTGTTGAGGATATTACAGTTCAAAAACATTCTTTAAAAGAATTTTAGATGCAGAATACGGTATGAAATTACAATATAAATCTAAATCGTATGATTTTGAATCTGAATCGGCATCTACATTGGACCATATTCATAAATAAGGATCTATACTTGATCTACAATTAGAGTTAAATTTAGAAAGAAAAATTGAGCAATAAATCTTATATGAACATGAATTCATAATAGAAAATGAGCCTAGGTCTAATTATAAAATTAAACCAATCATGTCAAGTGTAGTTGCGGAACCAATTGAGCAATATGCAAATGCAATTCTTGTTAAATTATAGGTTGGCATTATTCCTATCATGAATGATCAATGTTCGAATATGTGACATTTTATGGATCCTATCCCAATTCTTAATTTTCAAGTAATATTTTTTTAGAGAAAGTTAGAGAAAAATAATAATAACACGGCTTCATCAAGATTTAAAATGAAATCTAGATGAAATAAAGCTTCAGAATGCATACCGTATAAACTCCAATTTCAATACATTTGACAGCTCCCATAATCTGTACAAGTATTGCTAACAACTGCGCTTGATCAGGAGATACCTACAAAAATTAAATGAATTGCAAGCGAAAGCACTTCACGCTATCATTTGTTAAACAATCATTCAGGTGAATGCAAGACCAATAATTTGATTCATTTTACTATTTATCGGATGGATGGTAGACGAAGTAGTGTTAAAAGAGTAAAGCTCAAAATGATCACAACCAAATATTCAAGTCATATTTGTTTGGTTAGTCTGGGTTGTCTAGTACTTTAGCAATTTATTTTGACATTTGGGGAAACAAACTTAAACCTTTCTTTTCTACTTTATTATGGCAACTTTCAAAGTTTTCCACATTGTAATAAATAAGCCCCACGATGTTTTAGGAATCAAAGCTATCCCACTCATCAATGAAAGAAGAGGAAAAGAAAGACTAAAAGGCTGTTTGGTTGTATGTTTTAAAATATATGAATTCGAAAAATATCGAGGAATTGGAATGCATGCATGTTAGAAATGCATGAGTTGTTTGGGAGAATATACTTCAAATGCATTGAAATATTTTTTGTTTTTGTTAGGATATATTTCAAATGCATTAAAATAGGAATTAAATGAGGATGAGTAGGGAACTAAAAAAATGAATTTGGCGTTGACTTAATATTGTAGGATACTTTTATGCAATTTCTATATTTATTATTATTATTCTCTTATAATATTTATATTTCATGAAATTTATCACTTGTCATTTTACGTCTTGTTATTTCATAGTTCAATAGAAACTCAATATATCATCTTTTAACATATTATTTGGATATTATATAAAAAATTACTTTTAATCTTTATTTTCACTTCATGCATTTTTTTTTAGTTTGAGACTTAGCCTACCCTAAGAAACAAAAAATGTTTCAATACCCAATTGCACAATTTTATACCTTGGGCATTATGGGACATTCCAAATCCCCTACACAAATGTTTTTGCATTAAGTTTACTTCAAATCAAACATGAAAATAATCAAAGCCCCCTGCAAATTTTTATTGATACTAATACTACTTGCAACCAAACAACCCCACATGAATTAACATAAACATTAAAGTGCTAAAACTAACTTCAATACAATAGAAAAAATTAAAACTAAAAATTAATTTATATAGGATAATTAATTGTGTAGTTCATCATTAATAACTAATCAATATTATGGTTAGCAAAATCATAATAATTAATATTAACCTTAAAATTGAAATTAAGAATATTACATATTGAAAGGTTTGAACACAGTGTGATGATGAGACCAAGTACACTCAATAAAATAACTCATTCTATTCTTTCTAGTAAAAGGTTACTACAATTCATAACCAAAGGGGCAATCATAATAATTGAAGCTCCCCACAACAAATCAAGCAAGAAACAGAAGACTCCATGTCCTCAATGACGAGCAAAATTATCAAATTAAATATAAATAGAAGGATCATCTATATAAATATCAAATGCTCAAAATGAAAATCCCTTGAGGGTCAATGTGTCTGATCGGTCCAAAATTTTCAAAAACTATAAAAGAGTGATTCAAAAGCTCTCAAAGCCTCAACAAATTGAATAGAGAATGAGAAAGAATGGCCAATTCATCAGCCTATGGCCAAGTTGAATAAACAAGGTCGAGCTTTCAAAGTTGGTAATACCCTCCTCACCAAAAAGCCAAAAGAAGGTCGTGCAGGTACTCACCCACTCAACACATCTAATGGAAAAGTTGGTGTTCCAATGCTTCTCCACTTTGAGAAGCTTCAACTATACAAACTAAAGAAGACTTCTTAGCAGATCAACAAGTTTATTAATGAATTAAATATACCTAATAGAGTCTCAACTTGTGATAGGCTTAACTATTGCAAATAAAAACTAAAGAAATTCTCAATAAAATATATACTCCTCAAGATGAACCAATCAATCAAATCATGCTAACCTCAAGCCCAATGATGGGTTTGTTTATCATAACATCATAAATCAAGGAGTTCACCATCCAAGTCAAGCTCTTGATCATAAAACAAACAGTTTGAACCACTTTCTCTATGATGATTAGGTTATTAAAAAAATTATAATCAAGGGGAATCCTATCATAAAAATAACCTTTAAAAATTTAACTAAAATATGTTTCAGACTCCATTACAATGATGGGCATAATCAAAGAAAATCATAATCGTAGGGAATTCCATTTGAATTCAAGCTCCCTCAAAAAATATAAAAGAAATGGAAAAAAATGTAAAAGAAATGGAAAAAAAATATATTAAAAAAATGGAAAAAATATAAAACTAAAAAGTCAAGAAATAATGGGCCATTTCACTTTCAAGGCAGAAATTTATCCATCTTCCACACTAGTATTTTAAGGATAATAAATTGATATTTAACATAGCACATAAAAACTCATGTTAAATCAATTGTATCTATCATGAACACTCAAATCTCATCCTAGTAAGAAGATAGCATGCACAACAAAGTTAGCATGATTGTGATAACACCATTATATTACAATAATGGCCTAAACACGGATCTTTCCAATGGCTAAATCTATGAGCTATGAGCCATAAATCACGCTCCATAGGGGATGATGCCTTTGGTCATCAAAGATCATTTTTCAAAATTGGAATTGGTTCTCCTAAACTCCGTCTTCTTTTCCTTTTGTACACAACATCCAGTAAACTTCTCATTCACACAATTTCTCTTCTGAATTCAGCAAATAGCCATATCAGAATTTAGCCAACAACCCTTTTTCTACTTTTTACTGGTTCCAGCAACAGCCACCAAAATCCTTTTCTAACTCATAGTTCCCCAGCTAAAATTAATGAAAGCCAGCAAACAGCAACTGCACCAGCTGCTTCTGATGTAAGCAAACTAGAATGAAAATTCAAATTGGAGAACACAAGGACAAAATAAAACCAAACTCGATTCACTTTAACTTACAAACATCCAAATAAACTTCCGGATAAACGAAAAGTCAACTCAAACGAAACAAAATTATAACATAAAAATGCTATCCTCAGAACAACCGTTTAGCAGTTTCCTCACATGCAACGAGAGTAGGAAAAATATATGAAAATTGTGCTTAGGCTTGCAAACCAAAGGTCCACCACTGCAAAAGAGTCCAACGTCCTACCAAATCCTATAGCAAATGTCTCCAAAATTCAGCCAACAAACAACTTCCAAAAGCTCTAGAAGAATGACACATGTGGAGTGGAACTTGCGTAGAGAAGAAAAGGTTAAAAGCCAAGACGAAATATAGAGAAGGGGGTGGAACAAACTCTCAAGCTTTTCCAAGAGAAGAAATCCTCAGGTTTTAGAAGAGACTTTGCTCCAATATTCAACCAAACTTCTCCTTCTCAAAACATCTCCAAATTATAACCAAAAGAAAGAAGTCAAACAGCCAAAACACCTCCAACCAAAACCAATTAGGTTTGAGGAAATAAAAGGCCAAAAGACACTGCAACAACCCCCATGTTCTGCACAAAAAACAGGGAGAAAAGCAATGGGAAACCCAGCCAGCAAGCCACAGGAAACCTAGCAAGCAAGCCACAGGAAAGCAGCCAGAGTGGGACCCGAGGAGCCAACACAAGAAACGGGGCAAAGAGGATTCACGGGAGAATAGCTAGGGAGAAATCCCAAGAGATAACCAGCCCACTTCAATTACGCCCAAGGAAGAAACCAAAGAGACACAAGAATGAGAAGAGACAAGATCCACTCCACATACCTTTGAATTTATGAGCTAGGAAGTGCAATAACTTCTCCAAATAATGAGCTAAACTTCAACTCAAGCATTAATGAGCTAGCACCAAGTAGAACCCAACTTTTTAAGCTCAACACCAAGCAGCCAAAGTCCAACCCGAGACAGCTAAGGCCCAAACCGAAATACAGCAAACAGCCCAAAGGAGGGAAAGGACCCAAATGCCGGCAAACCCAAGACTTGCCATGCCCAAGCACCTCCTACCATGATCATTGAATGTTCTCCATCATTGGATAGCTTTAAAAAAAATATAAAACACAACTAAATATTGTTCATATTACATCAAAACAACAAAAATTAAAACATGAATGCATCAGCTTCCCTCTTTTCTTTCTTGAATTCAGCAAACAACAAATTGCTTTCAATCAAAACTAATTTCAGCTAACTATTTCAACAAATAATAGCAATATTATCTTTTCTTCATCTCCCTCTAAAAAATATTGAACTGAATTCAGCAGAAAGTTCTATTTCAACCCTTACCCTTTTTCTATATATCAATTTCATCATACGAAATTCTCTGATGAACATCTGTAATTCATTTCCTTAACAATGATACATGAAAAATATTATGGATATATGACATGTCAGCTGGAAGAGCGAGCTTGTAAGCAAGTTTCTCAATCCTTTCAATAATTTCAAAAGGTCTTATACCTAGGACTCAATTTTCCCCCTTGCCCAAATCTGGTTGTCCCTTTCACAGGCTTTACATTCAGAAATACAAAATCACCCACTTCAAAATAAACTGCTCTGTGTTGGAATCATAATACTTTTGTTGGCGATCCTTAGCAACTTTCAATGTGCCTTTACTAATCTGATTTTCTCTATTGCTTCGTCAACTAGCTCTTGGCTCGTTAGTCGTCTTTCTCCTTCTTCAATCCAAGTTAAGGGAGTTCTGCATTTTCTACAATAAAGTGCTTCATATGGAGCCATTTGTATACTTGATTGATGCTATTTTTATAGACAAATTCTATCAATGGTATATGATCTTCCCAATTACCTCTAAAATCTAAAACACATAATCCCAATAAGTATTCCAAAACTTGAATGATTCTTTCATATTGATCATCAGTTAGAGGATGAAAAGCTAAACTAAAGTGAAGGTTTATGCCCAAGCTTTCCTAAATGCTCTTCCACAACTAGAAGTAAATCGATCAATCCTATCTGAAACGATAATCTTTGAAATTCCATGCAATTTAATAATCTCTCACACATACGTGCATGCCAATTTATTTACTGAAATAGTTTGTTTGATAGGCAAAAAGTGAGTTGATTTTGTCAGTTTATCAATAATCACCAAAAT